TAATAATAATAATAATATCAAACTTTATTAACACTCAAAGCAACTATTTACAAGTTAAAAGTAAAAACGATTTCAATTGAAATCCTATTTACAATCTAATCCTTTTCATCATCATCAAAATTATTATTGTCGATGCTAAAATAAAAGTGCATTATTATTCTTCAAGAGATAAAATTGCACTAGCCCTAAAATATAATCATAATAATTTAATAAATTCACAAAAAGGTAGAAACAAAAAAAAGAAAAAGAAAGTATATATAAAACTTGGTAAAATTCACAAAACTACGTTGGACAGGCGGCAGCGTTGTCGAGGGAGAAGTTCAAGTAATATAATAATAATAATAATAATAATAATAATAATAATAATAATAATAAAAGTAATCTTAAAAGAGGGAGCCCAGTTTGCAGTGTGGGTCCTGTATTTAGTGGTTACCCTGTGTTTAGTTTTAGTCCTGTTTTAATTCTGTTGCCAAATTTTGCCGAAGTAATAGAACTGAACTTTAAATCCTTCAACGAGAAAAAGGTTTCCCTTTACCGGGTTTGACGTATTTTTCTGATTGTGAGTTTGAAGATGAATGGATATAATCCATATCTACCTGAACAAAATAAAAAAGAAGGATTAATGACGGTATCTGAGCAACTGTGCTCCTAACCCCCCTCCCTGACACAACAACAGTCAACTGGTGACAAGTTAGAGTTGTTGTTGGCTGGGGGGGTAGGGAACGTCCCTTAAGACATCCGTTATTCTAATTTGATATATTCAATTATACATATTGTTCCCCTCTTCAGGTGTAACCAACGGCGGTTGGTCAGAATGGGGTAACTGGGGCAGGTGCGGTCAGACTTGCGGCTCAGGAAGTCAAACCCGATCACGAACATGCACTAATCCACCTCCAAGCAATGGCGGGTCTGCCTGCCAAGGAATCAGTGTTCATTCAAGACCTTGCAACACACATACATGTTCCGGTGGTGGAGGTGGTACCGGTAAAAAAATCGATTTCTACTTAAAGCTAAGCTATTCAACACCCAATAATGTCGCCAGAAGTGAGAATGGCACTGATATTGTTGTTAAATTATTTTTTTGGCTAGCTCTTCGCCTTTTCGTCTGCTTGCAGCAGTTACTGTGATCTGCGATTCCACAAAAAATTTAATAAAGAGTAGCCGATGTTATGCTGTTAAGCTTGCCATCAATTCGCAACTTACTTTGACTTGTGACTTCCAAAAGTCACATGACTGTAAACTTATCGCAGGTTTCACTGCAGATTACCATATAATCACTATGACATTGTCATTAATCATTTAAACGTTTGGTCTCCTTTATTAAGCATATACATGAGCCGTGTTGAGTATTTGTCAGCCATAACGATATGCATTGTTGCCCACCAACCGCCTTTTAATAGCTGGTCTTTGATCTACATCAGTCAATTTCCCCTCTTCCACTGTGGATAGTTCAACTTAATGCATTTTATTCTAGACAATAGATTGAGAATATATTAATATATATACTTTTTTTTTTCTCTTTTGTATATTTTTCTGTTTGTTTGCATTTGTTGTCGTTGTTTGTACCTAAATTTTTATCTTTCGTTTCAATGATGTTGTTTTAGAGGACCGCACCAAACAGGCTCTGAAAAAAGTCTGTAAATCCAGATATCTGCTTGTATTCATTCAATTTGGTTCGGTCATTAGTTTGCAGACATGGAAGCACCGCCTATAACAGTTGTGGTGAAAGATGTACTTGTCACTTTGGCCGCCTGATCAATTGCATTCGAATAAGGAAAGAATTCACAGCCATGTCAAAAGAAGAACGAAGACGCTATATAAGCACAATAAAAACAGCCTCAACTGACCAGCGATTCAGAGGAGATTACGAAAACCTGATCAATATGCATCAAAGGCTTTTCTCCGGGCCAATCCATCAGCCACAGCAGTTTCTTCCTTGGCACCGCTGGTACATTCTGCAATATGAAAATCTTCTTCGGAGGGTCGATTGTAAGTTTACAGTGGCTTTCTGGGATTGGAGTCTTGACGCCGATCCATGGGGCGCATCAAACGAGCTGGAACTCTGGCACAGTGGCGACTCCGGTTTTGGTGGGAATGGCGCTGGTGGTTGTGTGCGGGATGGACCCTTCAGACAGGGCGTATGGTCGGCCGTGTCACTTAACGGACGAAAGTGCTTAACCCGTCAATTTAGGGGCACCCCTCCTGATTCAGCAGCAGTGCAAGAAGTTATTATTCAAAATAGTTTCGAGACCTTTGAAAGTGAACTCAGGATAAACCTTCACGACCAAGTACATTGCCTGATTGGAGGAACCATGTGTACAACGGAGTCTGCATCACCTCCGGAGTTCTTCCTTCATCATGGTTTCATCGATAAGATCTGGAATGACAGACAAAAGAGGACCAGGAACCACGCATGGCAACAAGTATCGCTGATGGGCAGTGGAGGAGTCCAGGCCACAGCGGTCACCGATCTCTCTCAACAACCGGGGGGCGTGCGAGTTGAGTATGAGGCATCTAGCAGGGAAACTAGAATAATGGGCCGACTACAAGGTAAGAAGTAGTAGATTACAAGGCTGGTTAGGGACCTGTCATTACTTCTCGCGGGGGTGGGGGGGGGAGGCAAGGATTTCTGGGGGGTCCAATGGTTAAATGGTGTTTGGAATATGGTGAGCATTTAATCATAAATTTTTTTTTTTAAGGAAGTTACATAAGAACGTTTGTTCTTTTTAGGCAAGAGTATCGCGCAATTACATGAGACAAAGCGCAAGCCGTTTACCAACCTTCTGGGAGCATCTCTCCGTCTGTTCCATGTAAGCACAGAAGAAGCCAAAAAGGCAAAGGAGAATGAGAAGATACTTCAGCCTGTGAATGCTGGTTAGGACGAGGCGCTGGATACAGCCAGACCGATGAAACATCGTACTTAAAACATAACATTAATGGGATATATCAACTGTGCTTTCAATTCTTTTGTTAGTGTTCATTACATTTATTTATTTTATCCTGCATTTTACGTATCCTTAACAAGCGAGGCCTTTGTTCAGTAGGGTCTCTCTCGTTTTCTCATTTTCTTTATATAAGTAACAAATCTTTTACCGGCATGGACACCAAGGATGGCAAGTCAGTTGAAAGTATTCATATCAAGCCTTTGGTCAAACACCAAAGAAGGGCTCTAAAATCAGCAACCGCGGTTTATTCAATTATCGAAACAAAAAAACACTATATCTTTTGTTAATTATTATGAAAAGTGTCTGCATGCCATGCGTACAGTCATATAAACATGCGTAGTTCAGTTCCATTGAAAAGCTTCATGCTTGGGTCATTCAGATTCTTGCTTTTTCTTTGGTTTTCTCTTTTAGAAATAGTTTTTTTTTTGTCGAATGATTTTGAACTCCGGCTACCATCTTGGATTCGTGATCAATTCCTAAATTTTAATGTATAAGAAAGGAAGAGGAAACCAAACATCCTTCTGTGTTATTGTTTTTGCTTTTTCTTTGTTTTTTCCCCCCTGTATTTCATTTAGGGTATTATTCAGATTCTTTGCTTTTTCTTTGGTTTTCTCTTTTAGAAATAGTTTTTTTTTTGTCGAATGATTTTGAACTCCGGCTACCATCTTGGATTCGTGATCAATTCCTAAATTTTAATGTATAAGAAAGGAAGAGGAAATCAAACATCCTTCTGTGTTATTGTGTTTGCTTTTTCTTTGTTTTTTTTCCTTGTATTTCATTAAGGGTATTATTCAGATTCTTTGGTTTTTCTTTGGTTTTCTCATTTAGAAATAGCTTTTTTTGTGGAATGATTTTGAACTCCGGCTACCATCTTAAATTCGTGATCAGTTCCTAATTTTTTAATGTATAAGAAAGGAAGAGGAAACCAAATATCCTTCTGTGTTATTGTTTTTGCTTTTTCTTTGTTTTTTCCCCCCTGTATTTCATTTAGGGTATCATTCAGATTCTTTGCTTTTTCTTTGGTTTTCTCTTTTAGAAATAGTTTTTTTTTTTGTCGAATGATTTTGAACTCCGGCTACCATCTTGGATTCGTGATCAATTCCTAAATTTTAATGTATAAGAAAGGAAGAGGAAACCAAACATCCTTCTGTGTTATTGTTTTTACTTTTTCTTTGTTTTTCTTTTCCACTGTATTTCATTTAGGGTATCCTCAAAAATAAACGTTCCGTCAAGGTTTATCTTTAAAGAGGGAATCTTGTTGAGGAAACTGTGGTTAGTGCTGCGTCGGTGGGGGAGTATAACAAGATAGTTTTTGTTTTAGCAACTGAGTAGATTATGTAAAATGGCCGCCGTAAAACGTTTCAAAGATAACGTTTCGAGGGTTAGCCCTTTGTCAGCGCGTTTAACTGTAGTCTACAGCCGTATTTGGGTAACGAAGTTACATCATTTCAGTGCTCTACAACATAATAATTATTCGATGTAGAAGGTCACAAGATACTTGGTGTAACAAGTGTTCAAACGTGACCGACTCTATAGTAATTCTTAGTGATATTTTTGATTAGCCATGTTTAGCACTTGTTATCTTGTTTACTAGTCACTGGATCATAACCATTGGTGACTTGAGCTAAATTTTTAGATGTAAGAGTGCAACCATTTTCCAAACTTTGAAAGTAATTAGTGTTACAAATAAAGGATTTACATTTTCCTCAAGTGGTTTTAGATTTTTGAGAAAACTTTTTTCCTATGATGTGAGTCGTAACACGTGACTGAGTCCACTTCAGTAACAGCCAACAAGCGAAACACATGTCTTGATAATGAGCGGTGGTATAAAGCCTTCCTCAGTGTGATGAAGACCAAAACGTTCTCTATGATTAAAACAGCAGCGACTATAATGTATATGATCGACAAATAAGCCCACAGCTTCTCACGACTATTTTTATCACCGGAGCGACATTTGAGTAGCACAACTTTTATTTCATGTCATTTAATGAATGTTTTATTTTAAAAACTTCCGTGTTCAAAAAATAAAATAATATTCATGGCTTTATCTCAGTAGCATTACAGTCATTATGGCTTCGGGACCGAGACTAAAATCTTTAAGACTCAATACTACCAAGCTAACTGAAAAATTAACATTGAACGACTGAGTTCGTGCTTGCATCTGCACGCGCGTGCAACAAAGATCAGTGATCGCGTCAATGTGTTTTAATTATTTATCATTTTTGAATCGTGATTGAAGATAATAAGATCTTCATGACCAGCTGAACGGATTTTTTTATTCAAATGTGAGTCGTGAGTCAAGAGCTGAATTAAACGTTATTCGTGAATCATTTTGTTTTTCGTGATGAACCTACGTCTATTTACAGTCAAACTAAGTGAAGCAAACCCCTCAAGATTACATTAATGAATTGATCATTAGGATATTGAATCCGCCACTCGTTTCAAGAATGCAATAATGAATTGATTATTTGATTATTGAACTCGCTAGCCGTTTCACGAATGCAATAATGGATTGATTCGTATATGAGCACGATCCTTCGCAGTAAAGCACTATTTGAGCAATAGTGAAAAATCAGACCTGAAAAAAATTTCAGGCCTGTACGGGATTCGAACCACTGACCTCTGCGATACTAGTGCAGCGCTCTACCAATTGAGCTAACAAGCCAACTGGGAGCAGGCCATCAAATTAATTCGACATAAACCCGTAGATGATAAATCAAACAACAACAAACATATGAAACATATGT